GGTTTTTCTTCCTTTGTCTTATGTGTTACCTCTATCAATTTTTATTAGTAGGTTATACTGATGTTTGTTTGTGATGGTTGCTTTTGGTATCCTTATTGCTAGATTTCAATTTGTGTCTTGCAATGTGTCTGTTTAGTATTATTTTGTGTGGGATTCTTTGGGCCTCTTGGGTCAGAATGTCTGATTCCTTTCCCAGAATAGGAAGAGTCTTAGCAGAACTGCACAACCTGTGTGATGAGTAACAGTTTAATCATGGTTGTTGAAATAAGACAAACAGAGGAACAAAGGCAGAAATACAATAAAGATAAATGCAAAAATGCTTCCAAAAGAATTAATGGACCTAAACATTAGAATAACAGCTGAAAAATATGATGAAAGGTCTCAATAGACATATGCAACCTGATGATACAATCAGAGAGTGCATGTACAGTGATAGAGAACATATCAGTAAAGAGAAAAATATAAAGCAGTCTAAGAGCTCTTTGGAATAGTAAAGGGAATTTATATCACAGGGGTCCCATAAGGAGATGAAAGGCATCAAACATTTATTCAAAGAAATAATAACTTTAAATGCAAACTCTGATTCTATCATCCGGTTGCATATGTCTGTTGAGAACTTCCATCATATTTTTCAGCTGTTATTCTAATTTTTAGGTCCATTAATTCTTTTGGAAGCATTTTTGCATTTATCTTTATTGTATTTCTGTCTTTGTTCATCTGTTTGTCTTATTTCAACAACCATGATTAAACTGTGCTCATCACACAGTTTATGCAGTTCTGCTAAATTGAGACTCCTTTTGGGATTTTTTTGTTCTGTCATTTTTGATGCGTTTCTCTGTCTCTTTACTTTAAGTTTTTATGGGCTAAGATAAGCTTTCTTTTCTTGTCTTGATGAATTGGCCTTGTATGCAGGATATACATGCATGATATCAGCATAGATTACTTACAGAATCTATTTCTTCATATACACCAGTGCTTTTGAACTTGTTCAGATGACCAGCACAACAGGGGGTAGGAGATAGGAGCCAAGGAAGTGGAGTACTAGGTTGTTTCTAGTTAGTACCAAAAGTTCAAGTCTCCTAAGATGCTGGTGGCAGCTAGGAGTGGAGGAGATGAGCTGGTGGCAGCTGAGTTGGGGGATGAGAGGGAGGATCCATACTAACCCCCTTCCTTAGTACCATTCCTCAAATTGACCCAAATAATCTCATGCTAGTTTCAACCTCTCAGCTCTGGTATGTGGTTTCTGCAACCAATTAATAGTTGTAGCACCAAGAGGATAGGAGACTACGGTTGGGATAAGGTAATGGGTGGGGGTTTATTTGCTTCACCTTTGGAGTACAGAGCCTTGCCCTGGGGTGCTTGCACCTGCTGCTACATCCAAGTGCTTTGAACTCTGATTGATGGCAGTATGCCATTTAGTTATCTTGGCTTAGGCCTCAGGTGGTGGTGTGGGAGTTATTTCACATAACCCAGCCACAAACTGCAGACAATAGCCTCTTCTGTATAGAGAGCGGCCCATCCAGCCTCCCCCATCAGGGTCCAGACACTCACACCTGGGTGCCCCAAACTTAAGCTGAGAGTCACCCTCAGCCCTAGCACCAGCAGTCGCAAAGATTGTCTACACTCCTCAAGCACCCCTATTTAGTAGGACAGGGTGTTTCACTCTCCAGCTCTGGCTGCCTTGTTACTCTCTGGCATATGCCTTTGGAAGCAAAGATCTACTACTCTGGTGTACTACATGGGTCCCCATATACCTACTTTATAGCTCTCCAGAGATAATTCCTCTGTCCTGCAACTGCATGCCCCCCTTGCAGATAGTCTCCAGGTTCTAAAGGCCCCAGTGTGGGCATGAGTCCTTGAGCCAACAAAAGCGATGGCTCCATTCAGCAGCTGCGCCTCCCTCTGACTGCACTGCCCTGGTAAAACTCCAGGCACAATTGCAGTTTCTTCTACCCCTCTGTTGTGTCCTTGAAGCATACTCATCCTTGGCTGGTCATTTAGGAACCATTGCCTTTATTTGGGTGAGCCCAGTGTTTTCATTCTTGTGTTACCTGGCCAGACTCTCATTGAGAAAACTTTAAAAATACCAATGTCCAGTTTTACCCTCTAGATTCTGGTGTAAGTATCTGCATGTTTAAAAGCCCTACAGTTGATTTTACTGAGCAAGGGTTGACAGTCAGCATCTAGTTTGTACAGAGTCCACCACATAGTAGTATATCACTCTCCTTCACTGTGGGAGAAACAAAATCTCTTTAGCTTACCCATTTGTACGCTCCTCTCCTACCCCACCTAACCCTTTCTTTTCACCCACTCTAGGGGTTAACCTTTGTTATTAGGCCTCACTGCTGAGAACAAGACTCCCATGTTTCTGTTTCACTCACCTTATGTGGTTTGCTCATAATGGCACTAACGAGCACTTCATCATTTACTCCGGCCTACCTCCTAACTTCTAAATTTGTTGTCCTGTTGATGCTACTATTTTTTATTTATTAAAGTTTCTTTCTACTTCTTTAGTCACTTTAATAAAATTTGGCGGAAAAGAAGGGATGAGGGGAGCAGTGGGCGAGACAGGAGAGGTCTGCTGCGCCATGTGGGATCCTCACGGCTGGCCAGGATCAAACCCCCACTGCAGAGGCTGTGAACAGCTTCACAGCGCAGCGCTCAACCCGCTGCACCACCAGGGAGGCCCCGGTATAACCAAATTAAATTGGCAACCTATATAATAAAAGGTCATTGTGTCAAAACTACGTATTTCCTTCTTCTTCCCTTATTTTTTTTTTAAAGATTTATTAATTTACGCATACAAGAACTGGAGTAGAGACCAGAGGTGCAGGGAGTGAGAGGATTCACCAGAGTGGAGAGCAGAACAGGCGAATCTACTGAAATACACTGCTGATGGGAGCAGTGGGCAAGACAGGAGAGGTCTACTGTGCAATGTATGTTGCTTGTGGCCAGTGGAGGATAGAACTCATGCTGCAGTGGCTAGTGAGAGCTTGATAGTGCTGTCTTTAACCCCTGTGCCACCAGGTAGGCCCCTTTCCCCTATCTTAAACATGTTTATGAAGAAGTGAGATTAAATGTTAAATACAGGCATACATTACTTATATAAATCCAAAACCATTATGTAAGAGTGATTTAAATGTTAAGAGTGATTTTAAAACATTTAGCTTAATCAAAATTCTTGCTCAGGTCAATTTTGAGTAGTTAGGTTGTTAGCCAGTTAATTTTATTATTTTTAAAGGTACTAGAAAATGGTTTAGTGTTTTACATCTCTCTTTAAATACAATAATAATTTAATCAATTATCAAAAGTATTTTCTTGGTGAACAATGTGAGAAAACTAACGTTATTAGATTTGTGTAACTTTACTTTCTGCTTGGATAGTTTTACAAAGTAATATGCTCATTTTCTTATTTTTTCTAATAGCTCAATTTAAGAATATCGATGCTTTAAAATTTCAGAATATACCGTGTTATTACAGTTTCAAATTTGTACGGGCTTGATGTTATGAATAGGAGGCAGAATGGCTGGGAGGAGAGAGAATATTCTTGTAATAAATATTGATAACTTAAGAGAATAACAGATTATTTAATGATATAAAAATCTCTGCTTTTGCACAACCTGGTAGTAATTAAATTTAGGTAAAGTAAATTTCAGAAAAACCAACAAAATTTTCCAGTTACTTTAAATCCACTTATATTAATATTTTAATTCAGAAACTTAAACATATACATTCAGAGCAACTGATAAAAAATATGACTTGAAAAATGGCATTTCCCAAAAAGGAATTAGCCAAAAACAATAGCAAAATTACATTACAGTAGGCTGACTTGTACACAATATCCTTTCAAACAGCAGAAAGTAAAACGATCACACAACTCTCCTGTCATCACATTATTTCAAAGATCCTAATACTGGTAACTCCATTGAACAAAAGTACAAAAATCTCTTAATGACTAATTGCTTAAAACAGCATGAATACTGTTTTGTCTTTTATGTCCTCAGCATCTTTTCCCCTAACACTCTTCTTTAGTTCCTACAGCAATTACTTTGTGGGATCAACTTAAGTCTAAAAAGTCTTTATTATTACAAGTGGCCACCAGTTATTCTTTTTAACAGTAGAAAAATTGTGCTTATTAAAAATGCTGGATGGCATTTTGCATATGGTATGCTAGACTTCGAACATAATGAAGTTTTTTAAGAAAGGCATGGAATCATTATCCTGTTATTTAAAATATTGACAATGATATTAATTTAGAAACAAAGAAAATTTAATATCATAAAATAGTTCTGTTGTAGTTCTTTTCACTTCCCCACCTCCACCCCCCATATTTAGTTGCAAATACTTGAGAACTGACAAGACAACTAACTTCCCATGTATTTGGCAAAATATGAATTGAATGTGTTTAGTATAAAATAGCATAGGTAGTTAAATGCTAAAAAAGTTCTGAAGATAATTGCAAAAATGTTTTATACTATATTTTTCTGGCAAGGTGTTTACATAACAAGAACCTCGCACCCATTCTATAAAATTCATTACAAATACTGACTCACATGTGCTCCCTGGCTCAGCTGAAGCAGTGAACACAATAAATGAGGTGGGTAATGACTTTCTCCATCCCCCTAAGGATTGTACATGATAAGTACTCTTCTAGAATTAATTCTCTCCTGGAAATCCAATTGAGAAAAGCTGTGATACTAGCACACTTCCTTTTCTTTTCCAAGCCCTCTGCCTCTAAATACTCTAGGTTCAGACCCAGGGTATCTGTTTTACTAATGAACATACCTTGTCCTGTATTCATAACCACAGGGGTAAGTTGTTGAAAACACCCAACACTGTATGTGTGTGTGCACGTGCGTATATACATTTATACACATAAAGTATATATATATAATATTTGAGTATTTAGGTTGTTATCCAGTAAATTTTAAATTTGTAAATTTAGTATGTATATATACAAATATATATATACATATATACACTGCGTATATATAAATATACACACACATATATACATACCTTATATTGTATTTTTCTTTACAGTCCCTACCTTTGTCAACTTCAGTAGTATCCTAACAAGCTCTTTTCAAAACTTTCTCTTGATAAATTAAAAAAGTCTTCAGTTTTCTCTACAGATCTAGAAACTACAATTTCAAAATATTTTGCATAATTACATAGAAATTTTGAGTTACAGTGTTCCTGTGAGCTGATGAAAGATAAATTCTTTTGCTCAAAAAGGTAGAGTAGATTTTGAAACTCTTTGCTTGATTCTCTTAGAGGATAAACAAATGGTAAAGGATGGAAAGGTTTTATTAACATGTGCTAACTAGAAAACTCTTAAGGTACACTTTATCAAGCTATGGCAAACAATTTAAGAGATTTGACATTCCACTCTATACAATCTTTCAGCAACATAATTTAAAACTAAAGATTATTTCCTTGTTCACTCTGCAAGGCAATGTTAGCTTCTTTAGTGATCTGACCCCCTTTCTTTTAAGACAATGGTGACAAAGATTCTAAAACAAGAACCTCTGAAACAAGCCAATACATTAATGCATTGAAACACTGCACTCATTACCCTCTACCACAGATCATGAGCAGTAAGTAGAAGAATGAGTATGGCTGTGTTCTAATAAAACTCTTATTTATGGAAATGAATTTTGCATTAATATTCCCGTATCTTGAAATACCTTTCACCATTTAAAACTGAAAACACAATTTTTAGCTCACAAGTCATGAAAAATAAGCAGTAGGCTGTAACTGACCCACAGGTCAGACAGTTGGCTACTCCTTATAGTTTTTTATATGTTATACAAAAATTTTTAAAAATTACAAGTTCCAAATCAAGAGATTTGGAGACTTTTTAGATCTCTCATTTTAAAACTTAAACCAGGTAAGTTCTTTATTTTCTGTATAAATATGCTCACACAAGAGATTAATTCAAAATGCAAACCCCTACTTAACAAAGAAAACACACCAAAGAAATTAAAAAATGAACATTTCACCTGAAAACATAATTTGGAAATATTTAAAATTTTTATTCTATGCAATATAAAACAATATGCATAGATTTGGTACATTATTTCTTAGTATTTTAGGGGAAAAAAAGACAATGAGGAAAAGCCTTATAAATCTCTCCATCCACTTATAAAAAGCTGCAACTGAAATCAGCAATTCTCTTGCATGTACTAGTATCATCTCTGAATACTGCATGAATTATACCTAGGAATTGGAACTTACCTAGATGAGTTCTGGAGACTCTTTAAAAAATATACAATTATATTGCAGAACACTACAATTTGGGAAACTTTAGAATAGGAAATTCCTGCCTCCATAAATAAGGAAACAAGAATATTCTTTCCACAGTCATCAAGTATAAAAAAAACTTCACAGTCTAATTTGCCTGTATCAAAGGTAAAATGATTCACTGTTACATTTCATGAATTATTTTGACCCTCAGCAGTTCCTAACACAAAATGAATTCTGCATGAACTTTTATCTGGGTTTTCCAAAGCAAGATACTAATACAAAATGTATTGAACTCTCAGAAGTCCATGGCCTGAAGAAAAAGGAATTAAATATAAATGTTCACCAACTTTATCCTAATTTTACAACAGTTTCAAGTATCGAGACGTAATTGGTTCTTGTGTCTATCCATTATGAACATTACTCAATCTTCTATCTTAAAACTCATCAATGACAACTTTCAATGGGGACTTTGATTTGCGACGTATTAGATCGTTTCGTCCAGCTTCAAGCATCTGTTCTTCCCAAGATTTAATTTCATTGTTATAACGAATTTTATCATCTTCAGCAAGTTGAACATATACCTGAGAAGAAAAAACATAATTGTTAACTGTAAAATAAGTTTTTTAATCTTTCAAGGTTTCTTTTATTTTTTAAAGATTTATTTTTAGGGCCTCCCTGGTGGTGCAAGGGGTTAAGCACCTCACTATGAAGCAATACACAGTCTCTGCAATACGAGTTCGATCCCCGGCCGGACAGGGAGAAACCCACACGGCGAGACAGACCTCTCTCTCATGTCTCATCCGCTGCTCCCCTCAGCAGTGTATTTCAGTCAGTCTGCCAGTTCTGTTCTTCACTCTGTCTCTGGTGGATCCTCTCCCCCCTGCGCATCTCTGGCCTGTACCCCAGCTCTTGTATGCATAAATAAATAAATCTTTAAAAAAAATAATAAAATACTTTTTTATTTATTTATGCATACAAGAACTGAGGAGTAGGCCAGAGGTGTGGGGGGCGAGGGGTAAGCGGATTCACCAGCGACAGAGGGGGGAGTAGAACAGGTGATCTATTGAATTACATAGCTGAGGGAAGCAGTGAGTGAGACAGGAGAGGTCTGCAGTACTATGTGGGTTAGCTCCCTGGCCACGGATCAAACTCATGCTGCAGTGGCTGGCAATAGCAGCAGGATAGCGCTTAGATTTTAATCCCTGCGTCACCAGGGAGGACCAGTAAAGTGATTTCTTTAGAAGAACTTTGTAATTTATTTCTGGAATTATATAATCATATGCCCTAGAATTTGCCTTATAATTAACTTTATAATTCCATAATCTAGAATTTACCTAACTATTATACATGTACAAAGGAGGGTGGAATACTTTACCAAGAAAAAAGTTAAATAAGAAAAAGGTAAAAGAGAAATATTTTGCAAATAATAATGAAAGTGCACCTGAAACCATAAAAAATATAGAAGAAAATACCTACAAATCACTCCATGCCATAAATTTCAGAAATATCTTTGAGGACTTGTCTCCAGAAGCAAGGATAACAAAGGCTGGGCTGGGTCAAACTAAAAAGCTTCTGTACAGCAAAAGACACAGTAACCAAAATGAAGAGTCTCCCTACTAAATGGGAGAAAATAGTTGTACACCATTCATTTGCTAAGGGGCTGATATCAAATCTACGAAGAGCTCACACAACTCAACAGAAACAAAGCAAACGACCCAATCAAAAAATGGGCAGAAGAGTTAAACAGGCACTTCTCCAAAGAAGAAATGCAAACAGCCAACAGGCATATGAAAAATGTTCAATATCACTATTGTCAGGCAAATGCAAATCAAAACAACAATAAAATACCACCTCACACCTTTAATAATATCCCTTACTAAAAAAAAAAAACAAAAAAAAACAAAAAAAAACAAAAAAAACCAAACAAACCAGAAACAACAAATGCTGGAGCGGATGTGTGGAAAAAAAAAAAAAAAAAGACTTCTACACTGCTGGTGGGAATGTAAACGAGTCCAACCACTGTGGAAAGCTGTGTGGAGGTTTCTCAAAGCAATAAAAATGGATTCACCATACAACCACTCCTACCCAAAGGACACAAAAACACTAACTTGAAAGGAAACCTACACTCCCATGTTTACTGCAGCACTATTTACAATAGCCAAGATATGGAAACAACCTAAATGTCAAAACAGATGAATGGAACGAGAAGATATAGGATATATATACACACAATGGAATATATACTCAGCGATCAAAAAAAAACAAACAAACCAAAAACCTCATGCCATTTGCAGCAATATGGAGGAAACAAGAAAAAATTATACTAAGTGAAATAAACATAAATATTTGGATGGTTTCATTTATATGTGGAATATAGAGAAACCAAACAAAGGGTCAGAAAAAAACAAAAATTTGTAAGCTGACCATAAATCTGAGGCATCCAAAAAGGGACAGGGAGGGATAAAAATGGCATTATGTATGTGGAGCACAAGGGAGTATGGTGATGGATCGTGGGGGCTATGGGGGTGGGAGAACTATGGGAACTACACCTGAGGGGAGAAATCTAATACTGTCCAAAAATTAACAGTGTGAGAAAAAAAAAGTACTTCATCTAAAACTAAACTTAAAAAAAAAAAATGGAGTTGTTATAATTTCAGGGTTTCAGATATGGGAAAGGAATGGTGGGTGACAGGGTGTGATTGTAACTGGACTCTTATGAGTGATGTCAGTCAAATATCAATTGTATTTGCTGTCAAAAACTACCAAGAGACGGGCCTCCCCGGTGGTACAGTGGTTGAGCGCTGGGTTGCGAAGCTGCCCGCAGTCTTTGCAGCGCCGGTTCAATCCTTGGCTGCTCCCTGGCCACAGGAGGAGGGTCCCACATGGTGCGCAGACCTCTCCTGCCGCCCGCTGCTCCCCTCAGCAGTGTACCTCAGTCCTTCTGCCTGCTCTGCTCCCTGCTCTGGCTCTGTGAATTGTCTCCCCCTCCCGTGCTTCTGACTATACCCAGTGCTTGTATAAATAAATAAGTAAATCTTTAAAAAAAAAAAAAACAAAAAAAAGATTCTCTTTAAAAAAAAAAAAAAAAATACCAAGAGAAAATATTCAAGTTGGTTCTAAGAATACAAAAGTAATTTTAAAATACTTTAACTGTGCTATTAGTAAGATAAGGTTGTTTTCACATAAATTAAATAAGCCTTACCCTAATAAATTCTCTCAGATATTCTAACTTGACATCTGATACTAAAATGGTACTACTTACTTGCTTTTGAGAACTCGAAAGATTTTTCCAGTTTTCATTTATGGTCTTCAGTTTTACCTGTAAAACAACATATGTTTATGAAACAGACATAGGAAGTTCAGTAATTAATAGAATTGTCTTTTTTTATTATTCATTCAACAACAAAAAACTAAAGCTTCATTCTTAACATACTACTTTCTAAATAAAAATTATTAAACTGTTACAGTGTTCAAAAATGAATGGAATTAATGTATTTAGCTTTTTATTGATATTAGATTAGTTTCAGGTATACAACATAACTATTTGTATTTATTGCAAAATGACCATGATAACAAACCTAGTTAACATCCACCAACATCCACAGTTAGAAATTTTTTTCTTGTGATGAGAACATTTAAGATCTACTCTTTGAGCAACTATCAAATATATAATACAGTGTTAATTATAGTTACCATGCTATATATTACAACCTCAGAAATTCATTTTGTAACTGGAAGCTTATACCTTTTTTTTTTTTTTAAAGATTTATTTATTTATACAAGCACTGGGTATAGTCAGAAGCGCAGGAGGGTGAGAGAATCCACCAGAGCCAGAGCGGGGAGCAGAGCAGGCAGAAGGACTGAAGTACACTGCTGAGGGGAGCAGTGAGCGGCAGGAGAGGTCTGCAAGACATGCGGGACCCTCCTCCAGTGGCCAGGGAGTAGCCAGGGATCGAACCAGCGCCGCAGAGGCTGCAGGCAGCTTCGCAACCCAGCGCTCAACCACTGCGCCACCGGGGAGGGCCAGAAGTTTATGCCTTTTGCCCACTTTCACACATTTCACCACTTCCCCATCTCCCCCCACATCTGAGCTTATTGTTTTTTAGAATCCACATATAAGTGAAATCATGTAGTAGTTGTCCTTCTGACTTCTTTCACTTAGCACAGTGCCCTCAAGATCCATCCACATTGTCGCAAATGGCAAGATTTCCTTATTTTTCATGGCCAAATATTCCATCACAGTAATGTGCTATATAATGTTTTGTCAACAACAGACCACATGTATGACTGTGGTCCCTTTATATAACCCAGGTATGTAGTAGATTATACCATCTGGGTTGTGTTGTATAAATGTCCTGTGATGTTCACAAGACATAGGTTGAGAGTCACCTCTCAACCTATTTTTCAGAACATATACCTGTTATTAAGTAAAAACATGATTTGTATATATCAGATTTCCCTTATCTACCCATTCATCGATGATATTTAAGATTGCTTCCATAGGGACCTCCCTGGTGGTGCAGGGGTTGAAGACAGAGCTATTGACTACCAGCAGCCACTGCAGCATGAGTTCGATTCGGGGCTGGCCAGGGAGCAGCCCACATGGGACAGCAGACCTTTCCTGCCTTGCCCACTGCTTCCCTGGGCAATGTGTTTCAGTGGATCTGCCTGTTTTGCTCCCCACTCTCTCTGGTGAGTCCTCTCACCCCCCGCATCTATGGCTTATACCCCAGTTCTTGAGGGAAAAAAAAAAGATTGCTTCCATGCCTTAGCTACTGTAAATAATAGTGTAATGAACATGGGTGTGTGTGTGTGTGTGTGTGCGCGCGCACACAAAAAATCACTGTTTTCATTTTCTTTGGAAAAGTACCTAGAAACAGAATCAAATGGATCAAATGGTAGTTCTGTTTTTGATATTTTGCAGAACCCTCCATATTGTTTCCATAGTAGGTCACAGCAATTTAACTTCCCACCAATAGTGCATAAAGGTACCTTTTCTCTGCAGCCTTGCCAACACTTATCATTTCCTGACTTTCTGATAATAGCCATTCTCATAAGCACAAGGTGATAGCTCATTATGGTTTTCATTTTCATTCCCCTGATAGTGTTATCAGTGCCCTTTCATGTATATTAGCCATCTGTATGTCTTCTTTGGAAAAATATTTATTCTGGGCCTTTGCCCATTTTTTAATTTGATTGTATTTCTGCTATTGAGTTGTATGAATTCTTTATATATTTTGGGTACTACCACCCATCAGATATATGATTGTAAATATTTTCTCACATTCCACAAGTTGCCTTTATTTTTTATTGATGGTTTCCTCTGCTAGGAGATATTTACTTTTTGAAATATTCAAGTATAATCTACATTCTGTCATACATTAACTTCAAAAACTAAATGTTTTTATTCTCGATGGTAGTTTTTTTCTAAAAGTTGTGCCAAAGAGTTTAAGTATAGTCATAGAAATAACATGCCAGTACTTATTTCTGCTTAGCTTAATTATGAGACTTGGGAAAAGTCATATTACTGCCCTTAGACTCGGCTTTTTATCTATAAAACTCAAGGGATCAGGGAAACCACAACTGGAGGAAAGGCAGAGGAAAAGAATGGGTGGAAGGGATATGAGGGGCAGAGGTAGAGACAGAGGGGTAGAAGAAGGGGACTATATATGGATAAGCAGATAATCTGAAAAGTATCTCTTTAAAGCTGGTTTTAAGAAACAGAGTGAATATTAACTAAATTTTATTTTCTTGTCAATAAAAACAGAGGTAGCAAATAGTATCTGGGACTATATAGCCACTATGTTTTAGACATTTTAAACTCACCCTAATAAATACATCTAACATTCAGAGACAATTACTAAATATTTGTTCTTTTAGCTTTGGAAAGAATTATTTTAATACTCTCAATTCTTTCAAATCTTTTTGTGTATAATTCATTTATAAAGGTTCATAGTCACTGAATTAAATAATTTGTGAATCTATTGCATCTTTTACCTAAGTAAATAATTAAAAAAAAAAAATCAGGGCCTCCCTGATGGCACAGCGGGTTAAGCACAGCACTGTGAAGCTGTCCACAGCCTCTGCAGCAAAGGTTCGATTCCCAGTCAGCCAGGGAGATACCCATATGGCGCAGCAGATCTCTCCCGTCTCACCCGCTGCTTCCCTCAGCAGTGTTTTCGGTCTGTCTGCCTATTCTGCTTCCCGCTCTGTTGCTGGTGAATTCTCTCACCCTCCTGCACCTCTGGTGTGTACCCCAGTTCTTGTATAAATAAATAAATCTTAAAAAAAAAAAAATCAAAGGGTTGTAAAGATGTTTAATTTTCTGCCCTCCTAAAATTCCATTAAATAAGGCCTTTCATCACATGAGAACACAGTAAGAAAGCACCTGAATTCAGAAGAGGACCCTCATGGGGAGATAGCTAAAATGGTGCCCTGCTTCTGGACTTCCCAGGTTCTAAAACTGTAAGCAATAAATATCTTTTTGTTGTTGTTTTAATTAAATACAAAACAAAAAAATGTTAAGGGATGAACCCACATGAACAAACAGAAGAGGGCATTACCAACACAAAATTTTGGAAGCCAAAATGCAGATGGAGAAATGGTGATAACTGACTTACCTAATCCAAGAAAGCTAATTCCCAAGCTGGCAGTGGGGAAATCCAAAAAAGTAAATTGATTTACAATGGAGAATTCCCAAGGAGCTCAGGAATTGGCAGCAACAGACAGGTATAAAATAAAGATGAAGGTCAGGGAAAAAACAGGAAGACTGACTGAAAGTCTATTTTAAAAGAGGTTAAATCCCAACCATGGGCAGATTCTAGGACATTATTCATCTGAAACTGGTAAAAGCGTTACTCTATGGATACCAGGTCAAGTTGGGAACACATCATGCTGAAAACAGAGAGATTAAGCCAAAGTGTATACAGTATCCCAGAAAGAAAATCAAAAAAGGCTAAGAAAAACAATACAGATAAGAAGAAAGGAGAGAAAAAAGAAACCAAATTACTTTCAAAGGACCAGCAATCAATATGGCTTTATACTTCTCAAAAGTAGTACAAGAAGTTACAAGAGAAAGAAGCAATATTTTTAAAATTTTCTATGATTTCCAGTTCTAGAAATATAGGCCAAAAATATCAAACAAATGTAAGAATAGAGATATTTTCAGACACACAAGAACTCAAAATTTTAATCTTACATGTACCCTTACAAGGGACAATGCTATGACAGACAGGTTCAGTAAACCAAAACAAGACAAGAAGCAAAAGAACAAGGATGGTGATGAAGATCCCAGGAAATGAGCTGTGCACTACGGTCTATAAGGCATCAGCCAAACTGGAATATATCAAAGATTCCAGACTAAAACTGATAAAATATCTCTGCATATAAATGTACTAAAAACCAGGGAATATTGAACAGTACATTAAAAAAAAACAAGCAAAATAAACAAAAAAGTAAATCCACAAAATATACTCAACTTCAGAGAAAGTTTTTGTAAGATAGGAAAAATAATTATAGCAAATGGCATCACTCAGCTATAAATAGGGTTTTACATAATCATAATATAAATGCTCATTAGTGACCTAGCCAAAATTATGAGAGCTATCTTGGGAGGTAGGAAAGTAGAAACATGAGCAGTAGAATAAGAGTTAAATGTCATCTTAACTAGTGGGACATAAAATGCCTAAAAGATAGGTAATACTTAAAAGTGAAAAAAATGAAAAAGTAAGAATATAAGGATGTTATTTAGAGAGATAGAAATAAATATCATAAGAATCAGCTACAATGGAATGCTTTTGCTTCTGGAGTAAGGAATATAAAAGGACAGAAAAACTGGCATCATTCATAACATGTTTAATTTTGATTCTTTAAATTATGAGGATGTAAAAACCAGTATTTTTAAATGAATGAAAATTATATAGTCAAGTTAATTTTAATTTGCAGGGGCAGAGCCCAGTCATTAAGCATCCTATGTGATTCCCAGGCGCAATCAGATTTGAGTACTATTTATTTAGAATTTCCTAGCATATAACCTTATACTGATAGGAAACCTAAATCCAAGGTAAGTTAGTGACTGAACAAATTCCAACCTCAAAAAAAAAAAAAAAAGGTTTGCATTTTAGTAATGTAGGGTCACAGAAACGGAATTAAAATCCGAAAGAAAGTAAAACAGTGAAGTCTACGGCCATACCACCCTGAACGCGCCTGATCTCGTCTGATCTCGGAAAGTAAAACAGTGAAATCATGTACCCAGGGAAGACTACATCATAGATATACCATATTTTATCATACGTTAAAGACAACGTATGAAATGAACTACAGATCCAAATAACCTAGAGGGAGAGTGGCAAAAGCTTTCACGTCAGGTAGACAAGAGTTAGGGGTCTGAACAGACTTTTATCATGTCATTATTATAAAAAGAAAAAAATACAATGGCTAATTTGGAGTTTCTTAAAAGGGAGGAAAGACTAGCCCTAGAAGGAATGACAAACTGTTTTCTTTTTGACAGTCATATGATGATGTGTGTATATACATTCCCACAGACATAACCAAAATTTTCTTAGAGGATTTGACATGAAGCATAAATTATACTCAAATCCCAGTACAAAATATTAAATTGTCATTTTATATGTAATATTATGCAGAATATTGACTCTACTCTCATTCTTTCCCAGTGATTATTATTCTTTCCCAGTACAAAAAGTACTGCTGGGTTAAGAAAAATCTCTAGAATTTTAACATATAAGTCTGAAAATATATACTCAAATTAATTTTATGTGATACAAAAAAGGATTTTTCTCTAAAGAAAAATACAGTATATAATATAGTACTTAGAGTAATTTACAACTTTTCTTCACTACTCGACATATGGTAGCCCAAGATGACCTAAATATTTTAAAAACTGAATGTGGAAAACAAATGCAGTTCTTTTTACCTGTGCTGAGCCATCTTTAGCTTCTTGGAATCTTTCAGCTATATAAATGTTGTAAGCTGAACGAGGTCTTTTTGGTTTTCCAAGCAGTATTAATTCCTGAGTAATAAAAATCGAAGATTTAGCTATAATTTTGAAATTCCTGAGACTTATTTCACCTATAGGAATTTATTCACTATGCAATACAAAGTGTTCCAAAGTGAACACTATCATTCCTATATAAAGTATACGATTATTCCGAGTTCAGAATTTTCCGATAGCACTGTTTTGAAATCATAATAGATTTTGAGTTATTTTCCATGTAAAAATATTTCCTTTACACATTATTTCCATGAACTGAATAACAACACATATATATGAAACATTTTTTAAAACATAAAATCATCTCAATTTCTTCCCCTACAGGACACTACCATGTACCCGGTCAAATCACCACAGGCACCCACAAGCCAGGAATACTAGACTATCTGTTTAATAATCTCTCATTTCATTTCATGCTCTGCACATTTCTTAACCTTGAAACCTCAATAGATGTGGTAAATTTTATTTTTTACTACGTATCAAAGGGAGGAGGGGAAAAAAGATGGAAAAGAATACAAGTTTCTCTTACAGTCTAAATCTATTCAGTTTCTGAGTTCAGAAGATGAGAAATAGTGCATTATTTTAACCTACTTAGTTTCTGAATTTGTACAGTGAATAGTACTTATAGTATATAAAACTATGTGGTTTTTAATGGCAATTTGTTACAATTAGTAACAGACCCACCTCACTTTCCTCCATAAGTAAAAGTAGAACTCCCCTAATTTACATGTAGAAATCACTTCTTCTGAACCTCTCAGGCATGAAACTATAGTACACTCAGGGGAACTTTACAATTTTACTTATTCCCCCTTTTGTTTCAAGAACTACTGCTAGGGGGCCTCCTTGGTGGCACAGGGGTTAAAGTCTAAGTGCTATCGAGCTATCGCCAGCCATTGTGGCGAGAGTTCGATCCCCAGCCAGGGAGCTAACCCATATGGCGCAGCAGACCTCTCCTGTCTTGCCCACTGCCCTCCTCAGTAGTACCTGCCCTCCCACACCTGTGGCCTACACCCAAGTTCTTATATGCATAAATAAAAATAAATCTTGAAAAAAAAAGAGCTACTGCTAGGCATTTCTCTCCTATGTGCTTCATTTGCAACTTCTTGGTTCCCATACTCTTCACTAATCTCAAGCTAGTTGGCATTAGGAATCTTCTGTTGTTTTTTTTTTTAAGATTTAATTATTTATGCATACAAGAGCTGGGGTACAGGTCAGAGATACGGGGGTAGGTGGATGAGAGGATCCACCAGAGACAGAGTGGGGAACAGAACAGGCAGACTGACTGAAATACACTGCTGAGGGGAGCAGTGGGCAAGACAGGAGAGGTCTGCTGCGCCATGTGGGTTGCTCCCTGGCTGGCCGGGGATTGAACTCATGCTGCAGAGGCTGAGGATTGTTTCATAGTGCGGTGCTTAACCCCTTGAGCCACCAGGGAGGCCCAGCACTAGGAAACTTGAATGAGAAGAAAAATTCCAACAGGGAATGAGAATGGAAGTGTGAGGTAGAAAAAATGCTCAGATTTCAGGTTTCTGATTGCACATTTAAGGAACTTGGACATCACTACTCCTTCCTGATAGCAATAAATGATACAGACTGAAAAAAATCAACATTTCTTGGATCTTTAAGAGATGGGAGGACACAAGGCTAACTGCTGCCCCCAACACTGGAGAAACAAGCTAGATGAAAACAGGGAGTCTAGCCTTACCTGAGCAGAAACTCAGGAGCAGAAACCACTGAAGTGCCAGGGTAAGAAACCTGAACTGTAATTAATGAATTGCTGGAGGCTCAGTGTGGACAAGTCTGAGAGTTTAAAAACTCCAGCGTGGGTGATTTGGGGGTGGAAGGAACCCAATTATAGGGGGGCCTCACAGTATTGAGATTTAGCTCCCAGCTTGTGACCAGATTCCCATAGTAAATATCAAGAAAAATCCCCTTCTGTTTTGGGCAGGGGGAGAGCAAAAGGAACCATTTTGATGTGACAAAGTGCTAGCTGCCCTAGGAGAAACTAGTTAACAGAAGCCTTAGAGTGCTTACTAACCAACACCAGCCCACTTTAGCCATCCAGTTCCTCTAACTAAGGGGAGAAAAATTTGAGAAAGTGTGAAGCTGACAGTCTTGCGTATAGGCCCAGGAAAAGACCAGGGCCTAATCACAGGTCTATAGATTATTTCCCTTGCTTCCACACCTCACCACCAGTTACTAAGGGCTATTTACAGTTCTTTTTAGCCAGTAAATCATATCTAGCTATCACAAAAAAATTCCAAGGCAGAGGTGTTAGAATTACCAGTGAGGAATTTATTTTTTTTTTCTTTTTTAAGATCTATCTATCTATCTATCTATCTATCCAAGCACTGGGTACAGTCAGAAGCGCAGGAGAGTGAGAGAATTCACCAGAGCCAGAGCGGAGAGCAGAACAGGCTGAGTGACAAAGTACACTGCTGAGGGGAGCGGCGGGCACAGCAGGAGAGATCTGCGTGCCATGTGGGACCCTCGCCCGGCAGCTGGGGAGCAAACCGGCGCTGCAGAGGCTGCGGGCAGCTTCTCAGCCCAGCAGTCAACCGCTGCGCCATCAGGGGAGGCCCACCAGTGAGGAATTTAAAGCAACTATGATTGATATGCTATGGGATCTAGGCAGTATGAACAACAGATGCATAATTTAAGCAGTATTGGAAATCCTAAGGGGGGAGAGGGGGAACAACCTAGAAATCAAAAACACTATTAACACAAATGAATACCTTTTTTTGATAAACTCATTAGCAGACTAGACACAGCTAAGGAAAGGATCTCTAAGCTAAAGATCACATTAATATAATCTTGAAAAACTCAAAAGCAAAGAGAACAAAAACTGAAAGAAAAAAAAAATGAAACAATATTCAAGGACTGTGGGACAACTAGAATAGGTGTAACAAACACATAATGGGTATACCAGAAAAGAGAGGCAAAAGTACAGCAGAAGTATTTAAAAGGAAACTCCAAATATCTGTCCAATCCTCATTTCTATTTCCACTCTAAGAGCTGGATGGGTGTGCAATTAGGAGGAAGAGCAAAAGAAGGAGAGCAAACTTTAGTTTTAGTTTATTCTCACCCTTCTAAATACGATCCTTATCCAGAGATTATTTTTCTCACTCAGAGTATCTTTTCTGATTCCCTTTTACTAATTAGATCAGATTACCACCATTACTTGAAAATGGGTGCGTCCAACCCTATTGCTAGGAAGTACTAATCAGGGAGAGATATCTGGGTATCGCACAAATTTTCAGGAAATTATTTTAACTCTGATAACCATTTTCTATAGTATATATACTAGATGAGCTAGTTAAAATACTTCACACCTAATAATGACCTATAGAAAAATGTAAAGTAACCTGTAACTTTCAAAAAGTGAGAAATATGTGGATTGATATTTTAAGCTGGAACTATAATTTTGAACCATGTGGGGTTTTTAATGAGGAAAACCAAGATTCCATCCTAAAGGAAATTCTTGTTTGATTAGATACAACAGGCACTTCCCCTCATATGTTAATGAACTCAAGTGTATTCAGAAATGTTCAGAACCAAACTCCCTATTACCTCTAAAACAATTGAAATCAGTAAGCTATTCTAAACATACTGATTTAGCTGTTCCATACCTATTCCTACATCTTTTCCATGCTAGTACTAAATATGTCTTTTTTTTTTCTTTCTTTAAAGAAGATATTTATTTATGCATACAAGAACTGGGGTACAGGCCAGAGGCGTGGGGAGGGGGGTAAGAGAATTCACCAGAGACAGAGTGGGGAACAGAACAGGCAGACTGAAATACACTGCTGAAGGTAGCAGCGGGCAAGTCAGGAGAGGTGTGCTGCACCATGTGGGTAGCTCCCTGGCTAGGGCTTGAACTTGTGCTGCAGGGGCTGTGGATAGCTTCAAAGATTGTCTTAACCCCTTGCACCACCAGGGAGACCCCTAACTATGTCTTTTAAATTCAGATATATCTGGGCCTCCCTGGTGGCGCAGGGGTTGAGCGCTGGGTTGCGAAGCTGTCTGCAGCCGCTGCAGCGCCGGTTCGATCCCTGGCCACCGGGTGAGGGTCCCACATGGCGCGCAGACCTCTCCTGCCGCCCACTGCTCCCCTCAGCAGTGTACTTTGGTTCTTCTGCCTGCTCTGCTCCCCGCTCTGGCTCTGGTGAATTCTCTCACCCTCCCGCGCTTCTGACTGTACCCAGTGCTTGTATAAATAAATAAAAATAAATCTTTTTAAAAAATAAATAAATAAATAAATTCAGATATATCCAAAAGTAAGAAGAACTTCCAAGACTCAACAGCAAGTAGTTCCAAACAAGTTCATTTTTTTCCTAACTGGTATATACGTGAAGACTTTCTACAATATAGACATACAGTATGGCCACAATAAGAGAAAACTACGTAGTTACAAACATAAATTTCAGTTTCTTGCTGAAGGAAAAGCATATTTCAGTGATACTCACTCTCTTTTTTATTAATGCTTTCTTTTTCAAACGTTTTTGCAAGATTTCTTTTTCCAAAGATACCATCTGACTTGGAGTTAGCTGTTTTTGAATTCTGTTGATTTCTCCTTTGTATGCCTCCCATTCTGCCCTGTAAGCATCTTCATATATCTGTAAATAAAAAGCCCAAATAATAAGTCAATACACTGCCACTGGCAAATTAAACATAGTATACCTGTCAGAGAAATACAACTACCTGACCAGATAAATACAGACTGAACCACTTAGTAGAAAGTGTGCTCTGGGATCACATTTATATGGATTAAAAAGATGTATTTTTCATATACATCTAACCAAGGAGAGCATACAGCAACTAGCTCTCAATTTCAATTTGCTGTTAATCCTTCATCATCTCCATCCAAAATATTTACATTCTCATCATATATGTGGATCAGAGGTATAAAGTTCCTTTGTAGATAATGGATGTTAAAAAAAAAGATGTGGGTCATCTAGTCTCTTAAGGTATAACTTTGTTGATTGCATGATAACTGGTCAGCAAAGTTAAAAACCTATATGCTTACTTTTTTCTTTTCTTCAGGAAGTTCCCTCCATAGTTGTGCGATTTTCTTAATTAGATCTGAATTTTTTGCATCTGTGGATATTTCAAAAAGGATGGAAACATGGTCAAAATTTGTGTCTGAGGACTAACTTCTAAGGAATTCCAGAAAGCAGAAACATGAGCTCTAAAAGTAGGTTTTATTATAAACAACTTGTATCCTACATACAATTCAATCATTTAGCTTTTTTAAAACCACATAAATTATGATAAATACTTTATCCACATTGTAAAAATCTATCATCTAATAATTAAGGAGTATATCACATACCACCAAAACAATCCACAGAGATTACTAGTTTAAGTAGTTAGGTAATCAATTTTTTCAAGTTGTTTACTTAATATTTCAATCAAAATTGAGTTTTTTCACATCAGGAATGATTATTCATAAAACCTGACTCACCAACAAAATATTCTTGTATTTCAATTACAAAAATACCATTACCAAACAAAATTGCCATAAAATTAATTCACAATCCCCCATTTTCTTCCTTATCTTAACTGAAGTAACAGGCTATAAATGATTTAATCACTTGTTAGTTTCAACTCCTACATTTTAAAAGATGGGAGTCCTCAAGACCAGTACTCAAACGAGTTCTCTGTAATGTGAGAATGATTACAGCTCCTCTGGTATTCACAAGTGCCCTGTGATGTACTGTATGCGAAAGGCTTTAGAAGTCATAAGCAAAGGTTAGCTATTATCTATTTAGCTATTATCTTTACACTACAATTCCCAAGAAAGTCCCCACCACCTTTTTAGGGAGTGACCAAACATCCTGCCTGGAAATCTCAGGAACTCAAGAACAGATTTTTCAGCGGAAAGAGCTCTTAAAATTAGCAGTAATTTGTATAGAGTGTTACATTTTACAGAATACTTCTACATAAATTATTTCACTACAACTTCATTAACAACTCTGAAAAGCAGAAGAAGGAGCTAAGCAAAGAGAGACAAAATAATTCATCAATAGCCCTCTAGGCCAAAGGCAAGTAAGGCTCAAAATTCAGCTTTTTCATCCTCTTCTCTGGGTGCGCTCCACACTACTTTTTTTTTTTAAGATTTATTTTTATTTATACAAGATCTGGGGTACAGGCCAGAGCGTGGGAGGGTGAGAGGATTCACCAGAGACAGAGTGGAGAGCAGAACAGGCAGACAGATCCAAGACACTGCTGAGGGTAGCAACCAGCGAGGCAGGAGAGGTCTGCCGCGCCATGTGGGAATCTCCCTGGCCAGCCAGGAATCGAACCCACACTGCAGAGGGTGCGGAGAGCTTCACAGTGCTGCGCTCAACCTGCTGTGCCACCTGGGGCAGCCCTCCACATTATTTTAAAAGTACCTTTGCTTATCAAAAAAGATAAACTCATGCAACTTGCAGCAACATGGATGGAGCTGGAAGGGATCATGCTCAGCAAAATAAGCCAGAAAGAAAAAGAAAAATATCGGATGGTCTCACTCATAGCAGGAATTTAGAAAACCTACATAAGGGACCAGGAAAATACCTAGGAGGGAGTAGGATCAAAACAAGAGGGGTGGGAATTGTATGGGGACTATAACCAAGATGAAAATGCACACATTGTGCAAAAATGAAAAATGATGTAAAAAATGTATAAAATAAAAAAAACTTTAAAAATAAAAAAATACCTTTGCTTAGTCCCCAATTGAAGCGTTTTTACGTGGTAGAAAGTATGTTACACCTCTTATTTAGAGACCATCAAACAGAATGTTTGTTCTGCAGTCACTTTGGTAGTGCAAATCAAATTAGCAGCTCAACTACTTAGTAGCCTCTTTACTACAACAGAGAAAAGTACAAACCCCAAAACTTCTTACCTGGGTTCTGAGCTTTAAATATGGGTAGCTGCTCTTTGGAAAACCGAACATATGAAGTCATAGGTTTCTTTGGATAACCATTCATTGAGGATGAAAACCATCGTGGTACATACCCAAAGCTACATATAAATAAAAATAACTAATGTCATGCATTTATTTAAGTGTCACTATAACAGGTATATGAACACAGATCCCAAATTAGATGTCATCAAAAAGCTATGTATCTGAAACCTTCGACAAGAAAAGCTAGTGACATTCAAAATCCTGCCCGAACCAAACATAAGAGCATGCAACACTCGTCTCAGAGCTCTGTAGCCTCCTAAGAAGGGCAAAGCGTGGAGGGAAGCCTCTACATTCCAATTCCTGGGCCCCGCCTCCTGAACGCTTAAATGGATCGTGGCGGGAGACTCTAGGCGCCGCTCCGCAGAGGACGCTCAAAGGGTGCTCCACGCTGGACAGTGGGGACAGGTGGGGTGTAAGGGCAAGGCGGAGGGTGACCGGAGGCAGGCACGGTGGACTCTACAGTAAAGCCTGGCCTCAAGACCTATCAATTCCTTTGGCAAGGTCGAGGCCAAAGTAGCCCTGACCTCCTAAGAGGGACAGCAAGTGGGGGAGAGCCGCTCTCTTCCAGCCCCGGATCCCAGAACCATGCCTCCTGCAGAGGCGCAGGCGCGTTGTCCTACCTGAGCGGAAAGCGCAGTCGATTTCCACAGCCCGCACACAGGTCCGCTCCGGACTTTCCCAGGCCACTCAGCACGCCCCACATGCACCGGAGAAGGGCCATTGCAGCCGCAGACCAGGTAGTGACTGGGCCCCAATCTCCTAGCGTCCCCTCAGCACAGCAGAACCACCCCAACAATGACAACGTGAACCCAAGTGCAAGCCTAGTGAATTTGTTATCATACCCGCCACTCGCGAGGCACTATGGGAAGTTGGTTAACTTCCGGTTGGTAAATAGGAGGCGGGGCGAGGCCGAATGAGCGCAGGCGCCGTACTGGCTCCTCGGTGGGCGGGACTGCGTCGCATGTGGAGGGCGCTGGCCTCCTCCGAGGGGCGCTGCTGAGCCGCCTCTGCCCCGGCCCCCCTCCGCAGTTGGTTCCGCAGCAGGGCCAAGCTGAGGGAGGCGCGGCGGCAGCCTTACCCCTGACCCGGTATTGGCCGGCGCAGCCTGTGACGGCCGGAAGGGCTTGTACGTAACAAACGCTTTACCGGGGGACACAGTATCTCGGTGCTGCCCGCGCCGCTCGAGGGCGAGTTGACGGGTGATGCGCGCGCACCCGAGTCCCGCTGTTGAAGCTGAGCTTGTAGCTGAAGTGCCCAAAAATACCCCGGGGAGGGGCTTGGGGATGGAGCGTGTTAAAACCTAAAACTGCGTTTTCTCGGTACCTCACCACAGATCCTGATTCACTATGTCTGTGGAGGGCCAATTAATCTGCGTTTTTAACAAGTGCCTCAAGGTTTATCAAGTTCTAATGGTCGTGACTATTGGATCACATTTTTTTATGTATTTTTAATTTTTTTTAATTTTATGTATTTTTTACATCATTTTTCATTTTTGCCCAATGTATGCATTTTCATCTTAGTTATCTTCCCCATACTATTCCCACCCCCCCTTACGCGATACTCATCTAAGACCATTGGGCATCCATGCAACTATTGGTAATCCTGTGCACAAGCCTGAGAGCAGCACTGCTTAATTTGTGGGGAGTAGGCTTTGGCTATGAGTTGCATGGAGACTCCCATTTCTAACCCCAACATGAACGTCTTGATCCAGAAATGTCGCATCCCTTAAGATTAGTTTCCTCTACTGCAGATGAGCATGTTGGACTATATCGAGTGTCCCCAAACCAGAGCACTGAGAACGTATGATAAGAACACCTTATGATACTGATTGCTGTGCTGAAGAACCATTTTCTGTGTAAGCAACAGCATGAAAAAGATTCAGAAGATCTAAAGATATCCACGGGCCCTTCCAGGTTTTTACATTCCACTTCTTTCAAACATGCTTCCTCCTGAAACAGCCTTTTCCTCTGTTACACAGCTGTTGGTAAATTTGTTAGGAAATTCTTACCAGTGTCATACTGAGCTAGGAGTCTACCTTCCTTTCTGTAGCTTTAGAACACTAGCTTTTAGGTGCTACAAAGGACTAATTTCACTTCTATTAAGTGGTAAGCAACTGTAGTCACCCTTTTCATAGACCCTGGTCTGTTCAAACCTTACATCTAGTCATAGGAGAAATAACTTTTTTTCCCAATCAGTACACACTATAAAATATGAAAGGTCCTAACCATAAATAAAGAACACAGCGTTAGATTCTCCTTTTCACCTCCCAGTATACTCTAGCTGCAAAGGCAAAAATAATATTAATAATTACAATAGGTGCTATGATAGAGGTAAGATACATTTTAGCTAATGTCAAAATAATTGTTTTCTATTTTTCTAGACTGTTGTGTTGTTTCAAATCTTTGATATAAGTAAACTTTTGGATAAACAATCTTTTAAAGTGTCATTTTGATATCTTGCTCTAGAGATATTATGTCACCTATATAATATATTCTGTTTTCATCAAGTACTTAAAACACACGTTGCAGTGATAATTTTATTCCAAGCAGCATTTACAAAGAAAATTTATTTATACCTGTTCAAAGTTATTTGAACCAAAAGGTATATGGTTTCATTTATAAAACATGAATACTTACCACTTCTTTTCCAGGGTTTTTCCCCTTTGTTTTATGTTCATCTACTCCTGTGGCTTCAACTATCAGTTATATCCTAACGATTCCTACATTTTTATTGACTTTAGATCTTTTCCTTTAATCCCATATCCAACCACTCTCTTCTGTACATCTATGCCATCATGTCCCACAGATGCTTCAGTTTTCTCTGAACAAAATTAACTATCTTTCCACTATCTTGAATTATTTTTCTTGGTGAAGGGCACTAGTATCCCATCTGAATCATTCAAGTTTATAACTTGATAAATCATTTTACAGTCTCCCCCATTAACCAACTGGTAATAAATATTAGCGATTCTACCTAATTAGCCCCTCTAATAAGTATATACCTTCCTCTCTAGCCCCATGGTTGCTTTTGCTTAGGCCAATAGTGTGTTAGTCAGCTCTCAAAAAAAAGTCCTAATTTGTAATGTAAGTGTAAATGTGTGTCACTGTGCTTGCCAAGTCCTTTGGTACAAATACGCCTGCCATGGCTAGTTTCAAACTACCATTTTGAGGTCACTGAACCTACAGTTGGGAAGAAATAAATGTAAGTGGCTCTCCAACCTAATACTAGCCAGTTCCTGTGGGACACTGATTCAGGCTCTGCCATCTTTTTCCAAACTCTTAGTTTTCCTATTTCCAGTCTTATTTTCCTCCAAACTGTATTCCACATTGTCATCAGGATAATCTTTCTAAAAGGCTTATCACATTCATTCATATGTTCATTCAATATGTATTTTTTTGAGCACCAGGCAAGCAATGATCACATTTCTATACTTGAAACATTCACTGACTCCTGATTACCCACAGAAATTGAGCTTAATTTCTCATGCATAGCATACAAATCCTCCATGAACTGGCCTTTCTTTTTTTTTTAATTTTTTTTTTAATTTTTTTATTTATACAAGCACTGGGTACAGTCAGAAGCGCGGGAGGGTGAGAGAATTCACCAGAGCCAGAGCAGGGAGCAGAACAGGCAGAAGGACCAAAGTAAACTACTGAGGGGAGCAGCGAGCAGCAGGAGAGGTCTGCGCACCATGTGGGACCCTCGCCCAGCAGCCAGGGATCAAACTAGTGTTGCAGAGGCTGTGGGCAACTTCGCAACCCAGCGCTCAACCGCTGCGCCACCAGTGAGGCCCCATGAACTGGCCTTTCTGTTTCATCTAAAGCTTCACTCCTTTGCTTGAAGTAATTTATTATTTAAGTACCCAACTGACCTTTCTGTTTCTTCTATAGCTTTATTCCTTTGCATGAAATAATTACTTAAGTTCCTAATTTAATAACTACATCAGCAGATCATATCTCTTCATCTAAACTTATCATTGCTTGTTGTGTGATATACCAAAGTTATGGAAATTACTAGATAAGAAAACAGGTTAAGAAATTAGACCTAGAAGTTGAGCCTAGATGTAGGTTCAAATCCTGCTCTGGTTACTTACTAGCTATGTGACTTTGCCAAATGACAATCTCTCTGAGCCAGTTTTCCTCTCTAGGAAATGAAAACAACAATGGTTGATTCTTAAGATTATTGTGAAGAATAAATTAGAAAATATATAAATAGTTCTTAGCAGAGTCCCTGGCACACATAGTAAGAGCTCAGTAAATAGTGGGTATAATTATTCTTATGTTATTCATAATAATTATTATTAGTTTCAAAATGATTATAGGTATAGCATAGATTGTCCCCAAAGTCAGATTTGTATCACAACCCTGTTATTATTTTTTGTGATTTCCTCTCCCTATTAAATAACATAAATAATATAAAATACCAGCATTAGGGGCCTCCCTGGTGGTGCACAGGGTTAAGTCAGCACTATGAAGCTTTTGGCAGCCACTATAGCAAGAAGTTCGATCCCTGCCCACATGGCGCAGCAGACCTCTCCTGTCTTACCCGCTGCTTCCCTCAGCAGTGTATTTCAGTAGATTTACTTGTTCTGCTCCCCACTCTCTCTGTTGAATCCTCTCACCTCTCCGCACCTCTGGCCTACAACCCAGCTCTTGAATGCATAAATAACAAATCTTAAAAAAAAAAAAAAAAAAAACAGCATTACTCCTCTCTTCCTATCGAACTTTTAACATTTCTTACATTAGTGATATTAGAGTATAAATTACAGTTGATAATGAAAATTAAAACACATTCTTAGGTTGAGATCATACTTTAATGTTTTCATTTTTATATAAAAGGACACTTTTATATAATTTTGAGTCACAAAGTGAAAAAGTAGACAGAGAAGCTATCATCATGATCATAGTTTCTCAAATTACAGATGAGAAAAGTTAAGTTCTGAAAGCCCAAGTCATAAGGTTACAATGGTTAGCCAGTCGTGCAGTTGAACACCTGGTCTCAATTCATTGTCTTGTGCTTTTCCCATTATATCAGACCATCCCTCAGACTCAGTCAACAGATCATATCATTCTAGCCCAAAATATTTTCTTTGTATCTATGATAGTGTGTTAGCTTATACTGTTCACTTATTTTATATGCCACTTTAATTTTTAATTTTTTTTACATACTTTTCCTTCAATAGATAAGCTATTGAGGACAAGACTAAGTCATATGCTGCTTTTAATCCACTGTACATTGAGCATCGAACATTGAGCATGAAGATGGAGGGAGGGATGGAGAGAGAAAAATGTGAAAAAATTAGCATATACACAAATTATTTATATACAAATTTAGCCCTATAGATAATAGCAACTAACTATTAGGAATCTCATTTACCAATAGAAGGGACAGTAATGTGTGGAGATAGAAGCCATGTAAAAATTTGGAATAAATACATGAATATAATGATCATGGTTCACTGATACTTGCACACTGGTGAAGCTGAAGATAGCACTAATAGCCACAGCAAAATAACTCCCTGCTGATTAACTAGGTCAGATACATACTAATAGATATCACTCAGAAAAATACTCCTAAGGGAAAACAGTCTTGCTTTTGTAATTGTCATGGTTAAATAATTAAGCTTCAATAGAAAAAAAAAATCAACTAATAGGTTTAGCACAAGGTATAGATGTAATTCTGAACTCATAAATAAACAGTACTTCTAGAAATAAGATTATACTGTAAACACCACATATAAGACAATTTACTCATCAACAATTAAATAGCACTGTGATAGGCATTAGAATTGACACAAAAAAAGGATAAGATATTTTTCCTCTCCCAAAGAGGTGACAGTTTGATTGGGGCAACAAAGTAAACAGGCAAAAATTCACAAAATATAACAGTTCATGGCAGCAATATAAGAAAATATTTATAATCTGAATATCTACTAACATTTCTCCTCTAAATCAAGATTTTAATAGTTCTCCACATGTGTAATTTTTTTCCTTCAAAACATTTTCATTCATTCAGGGTCTATTATCACCTCAGAGTTTGCTTTCAAATCAGTATACAA